GCATCAGTTCCGTCCATTCGGGACTTGACGTACTTCCCACCCTCACCCGTGCTTCTTTCGTTTGGTCTTGGTCTTGACCCTTGTCAACAAGACCCATCCCAGTTTCTACCGTGCCCGCCAATTGCTGAAGTCGAGGCATGTCCATCAATGCCGACCCTTTCAAGGCCAACATGACGGGTTGCTTGAACTCGGTTTGATGGTCTTTCGCCAACCGGAGTGCCGAAAGAATCCAAGGTTGTAACGCTTCAAATGAAGAGTTGGAGGTGTGGGTGTCCAAGTCCATCTCACCGACATCTTCGTTCGCAATGTCAATGATAGGAATCAACGTCGATGTCGATGCCAACGTCGAGGATGAAAACGTATGAGCTAATTTTCGTAAAGTGACTTTCATTTCCATTTCATTTTCTCCTCCACAAAATTGATTAAACCAAGTAAATTTCATGAAGTGAGTCAACCCAGGAACCCAAGTCAGTCCCCAAGTCACCCATTCCGGAGACACCTTTAACAGTGTTTCCATAAATCCTGAATGTTGCATTAATTCCATCAACACCCAAGTCCTTCCGAGTTCCCAAGTACTTTTATGTGCATACATGGCTCGAAGGTTTTCTTTTAATCCTGAAGTGTACCACCATGTTGAAGTCAACGAAGGGTCATCATGCAAGGTGTTGTTGGTCCCTACCCATCCCATGTACAACCCTACCCCCCAAATCACCACCATACTTCCTCCTCCAGCGATACCTACCACGGTCCATACCCATCTCCGTTTGAAATCCTTTAAGAAAGGTGTCCCTTTCCCATTTGAACGAAGTGGGTGGGTGTTGATTTTCAAAGAAGAAAAGGGACGCATGGAAGAAGTACGTACATGAAGAGGAAGAGGTGTTGGGAAGAAAAGAACTGAAGAGGAGACGGAAGGAAAGACCCGAGAGGGAAGAGGAGTGAGGAAGGGTCTATGTTCATGACCCAGTCCACCCCACCTGAGTTGACGACGTAGAAGAGAGTGAGTTGTTTTTAATGTTGAGATGAACATGCTTTTTAGAGTAAAAATCGAAGTGCTCACACACACACACACCGTTGGTAAGTTTTATATAGATAAATGTAAAGAAGAGTCGATGAGGTGTTAGTTTCTTAAATTTTTTTAAATTATTATTATTATTTTTATTAATTTTCGCGTTTTTAGTTTAAATTTTTTATTTTTACAAAAAATTCTCTCGTGTTTATAAAGTGATGTATGTTCAAGAGAAAAGTGTTTTTTTTTATTTTTTAATTTTATTTTAATCCATTCCATTTCAATGGAGTGAGTATACTTTCTCTTCGACTGTACTATTATTAAAAAAAAAGAGAGACTGTGTTGGTGATGAGTCAATGAATAAAAAGCTTTCTGTCTCGAGAGTCAATCTCGATCGTGTAAGTGAGGACAAAAAAGTTCTTAAAATAAAATTTAAAACGAAATGGATTTGGATTTCTTTTTCTTTTTCTTTTTCTTTTTCTTTCTTCGTTTGTAAAAAAAAATTCTTAAAAAAATAAAAATAAAAAAAAATACTTCATTCAAACATGTCGTCGTCTTCTACGCTACCTTCGTTATCTTCCGGTGTGGTGGAAACATTCATGTCCAGTCATCCCGATCAAGGCTTGGACCATGGACCCATTTTACAAATTTTACAAATTCGTGAAATGGGAGGAGGAGGAGGAGGAGGAGCACCCTTGTCCACCTCGACTTCTTCTACCACAACTACGACATCCAATAAACGATGGAGGTACTCATGAAAAAAAGGAAATCCATCCATACATTAGTAGAAGGAAATCAAAATCCTTTTTTTCTTTTTCTTTTTCTTATTTTTTTCTTTCTTTCTTGGAAGAGGATGAAAATGATGGTTTTCACTTCAACTTATTCAACTTCATTGTGTCTTAAATTTTTGTCTTAAATTCTTTTTATGTAGAATGACCGTCTCCGATGGTGTTCACTCCATGAGTTGTATGAAATCGATATTTTGAATTCTTTATTTCTTTATTTTTACATTGGAGAGAGAGAGAGACAGAGAGAGACAAATCTTTCCCTTGGGGTTGAAGAAAGTCGTCTCTTCTTCTCCTTTTTTTCTGAAGAGAGAAAGGAAAAGGGGAACTCTCGGTGATTTTAGATTTAATTTAATTTAATTTAATTTTTTTTTTTTTTCACTTACCTCCCTCACTCACTCACTCACTCCCCTTGTGATTCGGTGCTTTTGTATTCAATCCCTTTGAATGGGATCCTGTTTATTTTATTTTAATTAAAATGAATAAGGTTTACTGGGGTTACCGTTACATGCCGCCATTGAATCTGGAACATTGAAACCTTACTCGATCATTAAGGTGGAAACCAGCATGACCAGTACCGTACAACATCGGAAAGTGGCCGTGATTGTGGGATTGACCTTGTTAGGCCATCGTTCGGATGTGGTGGGTCATCCCACTCCGTTCACCCCTTCCAGTTCTTCTTCTTCTTCTTCTTCTTCTTCTTCTACAACGTCAACAACGACCATGAGCACACACCCTCCGGTCACTTTACCCACTTCGGCGCTTTCAAACCCTACTTCATCTCACTTAACTCGTCCAAGTCTTGGACATGGAGGTGGACCTACAACCTCAACTTCAACGTCGTCGTCGTCTTCTACAGAGACCCTTTTGCAACGGTACCAATTAGACCCGATTGTTCCCATTGCTTCGTTGTCTCCTTACTTACAACGATGGACCCTTCAAGTACGGGTGACCAAGAAATCCGACATCAAGTACTGGTCCAACGCTCGTGGGGAAGGGAAGTTGTTTTATGTGACGTTGATGGATCAAAGTGGAGATGTACGGTGTACAGGGTTTAATCAAAGTGTGGATCATTTCTATGACTTAATGCAAGTACATCAAGTCTACTTGGTCTCTGGATGTAAAGTGAAATTGGCTCAAAAGGAATACACCACCACGTCGTCTGAATACGAATTGACGTTCGATGAGTCTCAAAGTCATGTGTACTTGGTCCCTGGGGTGGTGCCTGCCTCTCAAGTCCCATTCCTTCATCACTTAAATCCTACCCCCATTGCTCAATTACCTAACGTAGCTTCAGGAACGTTGGTCGATTTGATGGGGATCTTGGTCGACGTGTTTCCTTGTTCATCGGTGGTGTCAAAAACGACGAAAAAGGAGTTGGTCAAACGAGACTTAGCGGTGGTGGACACGTCGGGATGGCAAGTCAAATGGACCGTATGGGGACACGAAGCGGAACAAACGTACGATGTTGGACATGTCTTAGGGGGTCATCATTTGAAAGTCATGGAATTCCAAGGGGGTCGATCGGTGTCGTCGTTGCAATCGTCCACCTTGGTCATGGACCCCGACCTGCCTTTGGCCCATCAATTGGTCGCTTGGTACCAGACGTCCGTGGGATTGCCGTCGTCCACGTTTCCTTCCGTCTCAACCTTGGCTTCCACCCCTTCCTCTTCCTCCATGTTGATGTCCTCCGCGTCCTCCTTGACAGGTACCTCGTCGTCCTCCTTGATCCCGTGTGTCTCCTTGGCCGAACTCATCACCACCCATCCCTCTCACCCCGTGTATGTCGATGCCACCGTGGTGTTCATCCGTGACAGTCCCTCCATCACCTACCCTGCGTGTCCTCAGTGTCATAAGAAATGTACGTTGGAAGGGTACTGTGAGAAATGCCAAGATGTCCATGACCCCTCGACCACGTCGTCGTCGTCGTCGTCGGCGGTGGAGTTCCGGTACGTCTTGTCGGTGTCGGTGACGGACGCCACCCATCAAGCCTGGTTGACGGTGTTCCATGAAGCTGCGGAAAAGATGTTGAACCAACGAGCTACGGCGGACTTTCAATTGAAACCATGTTTACCCACGACGTTGTTCCATACGTTCCGGTTCAAACTCAAACCCAAATTGGAAATGTACTTGGACGAACAACGATGGAAATACAATGTCCTTGACGTCCTTCCTTACTCCCCGGACTTGGCTCACGTGATGGCCGTTCAAGCCAATGACAAAATTAAACGGTTCCAAAAACATCCTTCCTCGTCCGGCTTATAAAGTTGAAAAGGTACACTCACTCTACTCTGAGACCTGGACCCGTGGGTGTGACGGGATTTATCTACCCTCCTCTCCAACCAACTATACAGTATACTGAAACCCCTAGAACCTAGGTGATCGACGGTTCTCTTTTTTTTTCATCTCTTTCCTCCTTTCTTCATGTGCTTAAGTAAGAAGGGAGAAATGTATGCAAAGAGAAATGAAGTTTCTTACCACTTTTTTTCTTTTCTTCCTCCTCTTTTTCATTCTTTTTTTTTTTTTTTTTTTCTTCCGTGAAACTACAATGTATTCAATGTTCTTTCTTTTCTTTTCTTTTCTATTTTTACTATTTTTTGTTTGGTTCACACACATGGGGGAGAGAGCTCCTTGATAGAGAAGAATGTCCATAGGATTGAATGAAAAAAAAAAAAAAAAAATCTAAACCACCTGCCTATCCTTTCCTTTTTGAGAGAGAAAGTGAACCATTTATTTTTTGTATTCAACGACTTTCACTTGATCCTACGATCCTTGTTTTATTTTATATTCATATATTTATATATACATAACTTACTTATTTCATTTGTGTTGCATGGAAAGGCAAGGGAATCTCTTCAACGGAATTCAATTGAATTACAAAAGGTGGTGTGATGCTCTTTTTCTTTTTTCCCCCTTTTCCTTCGACTAAGAGTTCGTCAAGCACATTTTTAAAGTAAAATTAGAAGCATACCATGAGAGAGAGACAGAAAGAAACCATACACCTACACATCGCGCCTTCTTCACACACACACACAACTTTTTTTTTTTTTTTTACCTGAGTGCCTCTTCTCCTAAAATCTTCATCTTTTCTAGCCATTCCTGTTTTTATTTTATTTTTCAATTACTCCTTCAGATATGTCTCAATGCACTTTGCAAGTATTAAAAAATATTAAACAATAATTTTTACAAATACCTCTGCCCTTCCTCGAGGCGGTGTGTCCGAGTGGTCCAAGGAGTCAGACTTGAAATCTGATAGGCTCAGCCTGCACAGGTTCGAACCCTGTCGCCGTCGAGTGTATTTTTTTTTAACTTTTCAAACATAGCTACTTGACTTTTATAGAAACTTTTCCAAAGTAGAAAAACCATGTGCCAAATTGGATCTCATCTATTTTTGGGTGATTGATTGGGGTCCTTTCCCTGTTAAATTTAAAAATAAAATAAACAAAGAAAATGTTCTTTAGCCTACAATTATTCCACGTGATTTTATTTTTTACGAAGGAAATGTTAAAGAGAAGTGAAGGAAAGGCTATACTTACTGAGTAGTCTAGATTTTTATTTAGGTACCTTTTTATCAAAAAAAAAAAAAAAGGATTGATAAACCCCATCTCAATCGTTGTATTTCTATTTGATCTTATTTTTTTTAGAGTGGGTGTAATTTTGTTACCATGAAAAAAAATATTTTACCAGTGAGGTGGAGGACCTACCAACAAATGACGTAAAAGAATCCAAATGTAAAAGAAACATAAACATGGGACAGACGGGACAAGAAAATTAAAAAAAAAAAAAAAAAGGAAAACGATTTCATTACATAACTTCATAGTGGAAAGAAATAGATTTTCAAATGTGAAAATGTCATTGATTTTTTATCAGTAGGGAATTAAGCTTGTCAGTAAGTTCAGGGTTCACTGGTTGTTGGTTTTACCTCAACAACTCTAAGGAGGCTGTTACAGAATTCGAATTCCGTCCTCTTCCCCTCCAAAAAAAAAAAAAAAAAAAA